GGTTTTGAACATTGGCTGTTCTTATGCCATTGAGTACTTGTGGTGTACATGAGTTCTGTAGAGAAAAATTTAAGTTAGTTTAGTCCCTCTCATGTCCTTCTTCAGGTCTCGTCAATATGATATATTGCTCAGTAAAATATTGTATTTCAAATAGTTCCATTCCCGGAGTTATTATACACTCTATTATGAAATCCATTAAAAGACCAAACCACCCCGCTTATCATTGAAGTTCACTTTGACCCCTAGAAGTATGAGTTCGCGGACTTACAATTCTTGGTGATTTTGCGTACATAAGCTATCTTTGTTTATTTATTTATCTATGATTCTAACGAGAGAAATGATTTAAAAGTCCAGAATCTGAAAAGGATTTGAATTCTAACGTAAGATGACTAGGAGTACACGAACAGCACTTTTTGTTCCACCGTGAGGTCTAAAACATTGAGGTTATATATAGTTGACTTGGTGTGAGATTCACGTTTAGTCGTTTAAACATTATTAACATCATGTCAGAGAGAGTAAACTTGTATCATTGTATCATTGTATCCTTGTATCCTAGTATCCTTGTATCCTTGTATCCTTGTATCCTTGTATCCTTGTATCCTTGTACCCTTGTATCCTTGTATCCTTGTATCCTAGTATCCTTGTATCCTTGTATCCTTTTGTATCCTTGTATCCTTATCCTTGTATCCTTGTATCCTTGTGTCCTTGTGTCCTTGTATCCTTGTATTCTTGTATCCTTGTATCCTTGTATCCTTGTATCATTGTATTATTGTATCCTTGTACTCTTGTATCCTAGTCTTATATGTTGCTCCTTAAACTCCGTACATATCTTGTATCCTGGATCCTACGTCCTTCTAGTGTATGCAAGGTGTATATTGATACCTGAGAATAATAATTATTGATCCTGAGTCCTGGGACCTGAGCTAAGCCCAACCTAATACCAATTTATGGTCTGGGTGTAGGGATAGAAAGGTCATCCTAATGGTACAAATATACACATCCCATTAAACCTCATCAATTATCCAAACAAAAAGCATATTTGGCTTTGATTGAGACTACTTAATATTGGGTTTGAACAATCCTGATCCGAATCCATTTATTAACCTTCAATTCATCCTTTCATCCCTTCAAACCTTCGCTCTACACAAACACTTCATGTATTCATTCTTTCATCCCTTCAATTGTTCGCTCTACACTTTATACATTCATCCTTTCATCCCTTCAAACCTTCGCTCTACACAAACACTTCATGTATTCATTCTTTCATCCCTTCAATTGTTCGCTCTACACTTTATACATTCATCCTTTCATCCCTTCAAAGCTTCGCTCTACACAAACACTTTATGTATTCATACTTTCATCCCTTCAAGTCTTTACACTTTATACATTCATCCTTTCATCCCTTCAAAGCTTCGCTCTACACAAACACTTTATGTATTCATACTTTCATCCCTTCAAGTCTTTACACTTTATACATTCATCCTTTCATCCCTTCTACACTTTATACATTCATCCTTTCATCCCTTCAAACCTTCATTCTACACTTTATACATTCATCCTTTCATCCCTTCAAACCTTCATTCTACACTTTATACATTCACCCTTTCATCCCTTCAAACCTTCGCTCTACACAAACACTTTATGTATTCATTTTTTCATCCCTTCAATTCTTCGCTCTACACTTTATACATTCATCCTTTCATCCCTTAAACCTTCATTCTACACTTTATACATTCATCCTTTCATTCCTTCAAGTTTTCGCTCTACACTTACATTCATACTTTTATTCCTTCAAACAGTCATTATCTCTGCATTTAAAAATACACTTTGAAACACGCACCCTTTCTTTTACACTTTATATACCCGTCCTTTTATTCTTTTAAACATTTATTAGATGAATCATGAATCATCGTTCAAACATTCATTGTCACAAACACAAAATTTTATAATCCCTATATCTTTGTAACCTGATAGTGAAAACCTTTGATATTTTAAACTTATACTTTATAATTTCTAACACCGGGTTGCAAAGAATCGGAAGATTTGAGTATGTGGCAAAGTGGCAAAGTGGCAAAGACTCAATTCCGGTATATTTGTTTTGAAAGAAAAAATGTATTACTTTCTAAAAAGTCTTCCTATAGTTGGTAAGAAGGGTAAAATATGAATAATAATTCACATAAATACTTGATATTTGGTTTACTGGCAAACGAACACTGCATGTAGGGTACACACTTATCTGAACTGTACAATGTACATTTATACTCTCACGCAAAAATTATATCAACATTTTGTCAAATACTCATGTTTACCTATATTATACAAAAACGCGCTTTAGTTTTTATATAAATAAGTCTAAGGCTATACAAAAGTATAAGTGAGTAAGAAATGTAAAACTGAAGACCAAAAGGTTGTGTCACTTCAAAGTCGATTGATGCATAATTTTCATAGCTTTCTGGATCTCTGTAGGTCCAGGGTACAGTGTACAAGTACATGCACTCTAATCTCGAATCAGCGCTCTGGGCGATCGACATTGACGCCTGCAAACTAAATGTCCAAAACAGGGATAAATATATTTCCTATAAAACTCTGTACCCAGAGAACTCCAAGGACGGATCCTGGTGTATACAGTCTCCGGATCGACCGGGAGACGGATTGGAACATATCTGAACCCTGATGAACTGATGCCGGGAGCTGATCTCATTACAACCATGCTCCTGGTGTAAAATGAACAAAATATATTTATATCTTTTATTAGGTCGGTAATCACAGAGAGGGAGTACCCGGAGCATACTTAAACCCAACCTAAACCTACACAACTTGAGCATAAATAACATTATTCTACCACTTTACGCTCATTCCTAGCCAACCTGGCCACTCAGAACACAATTATTTAAATACGGAAGTTAGATTTTCGTAAGATGCCTAATTTTATTTAAATGTTTTTGAGATAGAAACCAGATTTTTGAGAATAAAAAAGAGAATTCTTATATTTAAATAATATTTAATATTTTGAGACACCCTTATCTACAGTCTACAGTCCTGTATTCTATTTATTTTGGCCACTTTGTCCGAAATTTTTTCCTCTGATTTTGCATCAAATTTTAAACTTCTACAAGGTTGACTACAAAGGTGAAGACTTTAGAGCCGACTGTACAGATTTTAAACTTCTACAAGGTTGACTACAAAGGTGAAGACTTTAGAGCCGACTGTACAGATTTTAAACTTCTACAAGGTTGACTACAAAGGTGAAGACTTTAGAGCCGACTGTACAGATTTTAAACTTCTACAAGGTTGACTACAAAGGTGAAGACTTTAGAGCCGACTGTACAGATTTTAAACTTCTACAAGGTTGACTACAAAGGTGAAGACTTTAGAGCCGACTGTACAGATTTTAAACTTCTACAAGGTTGACTACAAAGGTGAAGACTTTAGAGNGGGGTAGGAAAAGGTGAAATTGAAGAGAAATCTAATTAAAGAGACTGTAAACGCAATTTATTTATAGAGTAAAATGTCCGATTCACAATTATCAGAATAAAATACTTTTTATTATAGAAAAACGACGATATATTCCACATTACTAATTTCTGATAAAAGTATGTACAGTTGTGAATCGGACATGTCCCTCTACTACGGTGACAGTCCGTTTCAAGATGACGGATCAAACTGATGAGAAATTTTGGAGAAAAGAATGGTACACAAACTACACATGGCTAGTCGAAGGTAAAATATTATATAACGATAGAGTGCAAAGATAAATCTCTAAAACTAGGTAAATTTAATAGAACTAGGATTAGAAGTCGTTTTTAGCAATTTTCTCCTTATAGACGCAACAGATAGACGTAGGATTATTAGCGATCACCATCGACGTGAACCTATACCCTCCATTCATTTTTCGCGAACACTCCCTTTAAAATGAAAATGAAATACCAAATAATTTTACTTGCTTTCTTGTTAAGAAGCTTGTTCTATCTAGAACTGTTCTCATTGTATGAAGACAAGACATCAAACATCTAAAAAAACACTATTATTTTACTACAGTGTGTCCCAAAAACACTACTATTTTTCTTCAGTGTGTCCTAAAAGCACTACTGTTTTACTACAGTGTGTCCCAAAAAACACTGCTATTTTACTATAGCTTGTCCCAAAAACACTACTATTTTAGCACAGTGTGTCCCAAAAAACATTAGAATATATCTATATCGTCTTTTTTTGATGCGGCATTATTACATAAACACAATTTTAGTAGTACCCGGGATATGACAAATAAAAATTGAAACCACTAGTCTTGAGAAATCTAATATGTTGTTTACAATTTATACACCAAAACAATAGACGGGGATATTTATTAAAGAACAACAAAATTGCTTAAATGTTTTCTATCTTCATCAATTTTGGAAATAAAAAGAAGGCAAACTACATTTTTAAAAGCTCATTAGACGTACAACAGTAGCGTAAAAAATAGTTTTTTAAAGTCTAGACTTGATTATGCTAATTTTTATAATCCCACTTAGCAGATAAAATAAAACCTACTTTCAAGTATCTAGATACTATACCGGTACGCCTTGATGGAAGAAAATTTGAATCTGCGTAAAATTGCGTAGGCCTGGGTCGCGTATATTGCGTATATTCCTTGAATGTCTAGGGATATGAGTTTGGTTGGCTGACCCTGAATTTTGGACGAAATCTCAAACCTTTCAATTCACACTCCAGGTATATCAATATATAGACACCTACTCTCTCCCTACCATTTAGGTATTTAACGAAAAAATAGACAGTTTTTAATCTAAAATTTGATAAATTTGTCCCGCACAATTTTAAAACAATGTAAAGCAAAAAAAATCTAAATTATATTGAATTCCAGAAAAAACCCGGCGATTTTAACGCCATTGTTTCTTAGATAGTTTTACAAAGGATAAATAAAAATTATTTTGTCACCACATTTAAAATGTTTACTGATTTTATAATAAATCTATCTGAAACTCTTGTTCATATGATAACTGTTAGATTGACACGAAATTTATTAATGCAGTAATATTGTATAGACTACAATGATATGACTATATAACTAGCTAGGTTAGAGTACTATAAAGCATATGGCACACTTATCCTCTCACTCTTTATATTCCATCCTTGAAGGATATATGGGGCGATACAAGCGAGATACAAAAATGTAAAAAGATGAAAGGATTTCAAAGAACATTTATGCATGGTGGGAGGATGCACAGAAAGACGGGTTTATAGAGGAGTAAAGGTTCAAGGTTCATGAATCATAGGTTCAGTTTCACATTGGATCCAGGTTATGCATATATACTAATGAATTTATGCTAATAGGTCCGAGATTTAGCAGGCGTAATGCATTCAAGGTTTAGAGCAGATGAGGAGACGTAAACTTCCTCCCATAATACTGGGATTAGAAGATGAAGATTTGATATTTCTACAGGTTTAATTCAGATCTAATCACAGGCAGTTACAAGTGCTGGGGACTCAGGGCAACAACAGTCATTGGTAGAATTGCCTTCTCCGGGTACTAGCAATCATTGGTAGAAAGTAAGGCTCCAGGTACCAAAAATCATTAGTAGAATTGACAACTCCGGGTACAAGAAATAGAAAGAAAGGCTCTGGGTACCAGCACTGATTGGTAGAATTGACAACCCCGGGTATCAGCAATCACTGATAGAAATGAAGGCTCCAGATGTCAGATTAATCAATTGCTCAGTTCAATATTCTCTCTTTACTCCTCTCCCTGAGAAAGGATTCCATTCTCTCAACCCTTGGCGGAGAGGTTCGGAGCTTCCTGTTTCTCTTGAACTTATCCATGTTCTCTCCGAACACGTCCCCGGTCCGTAGAGCACTGATCAGATCATCGAATTCAGTCTGGTCCTCCATTTTCCTACAAAAAATGAGAATTAAATTTATAGCTAAAAACCATGCAGCTTTTATTGTCTCCAACGTAATGTATTAAAAAATTGATATACATATATACAGTGATAAATAGAAAACTCTGTAATAGGAAAACTACTTTTAGACTCATGTTATGAATTTGAATAGTCCAATTAGCATGGGATCCAGCAATTGTGCAGTATAAACAGACCCATTTCACTTAATTAGTGATTTAATAAGTAAGCAGTAAAAATTTGCTTTGTAACAACATCAAATACACTTAAGTATTGCTAAAAAATCGCCCTCCTATTCCGGAGACTTTTGGGTATCACTGAATATATATTCATATGGTTTCATTCTTTGTAATACATTATGTCTAGGACATGTGTCTTACTTTTGTGTTAAAACAGTGTGTTTGTCTAACATTTGTATACTCTGTCTAGTGTGTTTGTCTAACATTTGTATACTCTGTCTAGTGTGTTTGTCTAATATTTGTATACTCTGTCTAGTGTGTTTGTCTAACATTTGTATACTCTGTCTAGTGTGTTTGTCTAATATTTGTATACTCTGTCTAGTGTGTTTGTCTAACATTTGTATACTCTGTCTAGTGTGTTTGTCTAATATTTGTATACTCTGTCTATAATTTCTATAATGTTTAATAAACTTAAATGGATAATAAATTGAAGCCTATTATTAAACTGAAAGTTCACGCCCACATTGATAGGAAAATACACGCACACACAATCCTCATTCATTCATTAATTCATTAATATTCATTCATTCATGGCCTTCTACTCAATCAAACAACCATTCAACACTATATCCTTGCTTCCTGCTGTAACATACAGTCATTCATTAACATGGTTTATTCATTAACATGGTTTCATCCATCCTTTAACATATTCACTAACATGGTTTCATCCATCCTTTAACATATTCACTAACATGGTTTCATCCATCCTTTAACATATAAATTAACATGTTTTCATTTATTCATTAAAACATTAATCTTCATGGTTTCATTTATTCATTAACATATTCACTATCATGGTTTCATTCATTTATTAACATATTTATCGTCAAATTCATTAACCTGGTTTCATTAATACATTAAGATATTCATTATCATGGTTTCATTAAAACATTCCTAATCCATTTCCACATTCATTATCATGATTTCATTAATTCATTCCTAATTCATTTACACATTTGTTATCATGGTTTAGTTAAAACATTCTTCATTCATTAACACATTAATTATCATGGTTATATTAAAACATTCTTAATTCATTTACACATTAATTATCATGGTTCATTAACACATTTACAATTTCATCCCAATATTCATCCATACCTATACCTTTATCATCCATTTTTCATGAAAAATTCATTAAGTCGTCAATGATTATATAATTTTATTCATCCTACCCTTGACAAAGATCTCACTGTAAACTCCGGTTCATTTTAAGTACCGGGCCGACTTTTAAGAAGCAAGATCAATCTTTCTAGGGAGATTTTAGTGACCTACCCATTGTTTAAGCTGGTTGGTTGGACGGGTTGACCATTCGCCATCCTACTCGCGTTACTCTTCTTACGCTCCAGTGTACGCATGCGCATCTACAAAAAACCGGTTAAAATGATTTTTTGTAATCGTTAAATTCTAAAAAATATTGAACATTTATATATTTTGCTTACCGTACTTTTCCTCTAAAGCATGAAATAAAATTTTTAAAAAAATTAGTAAAGGCTTTTTATCATCATTTTTATTCAATTATTTTTTTATAGATCTCTCTTTGACTTTATAAGTTTTGATTCATTTTTTTACTCTAAATGCAAAAAATGACTCATATTTTCTGATTCCCCCTGTATGCTATGAATATGCTAGGTCACGGTCAGTTTATAATTTAGAACCTTGTTTGTATTTAACCAGAGTTTTGAATGGGTCCTATTTGTTCTAAATGTACGCTAAAGTATCCTTGAACGGGTTCGGGTTTAAAGGGACTATATACACAATTTTAAATGACCCTCCATGTATAGAGTGGCATGTTCGATTCACAACGGTACCCTTTCAACCTTTAATTGATAAAAGTTGAGGGAGCTATCCCTTTTTTTCTATCTAAAAATGTTTATTTTCAATTGAGGTTTTATATACGATAAAAGAAAAAAGATAGTTGTCAGAATTCGATACTTTTCATAAGTCAGCAAACACGATATCTATTTCATTGTTGCTTCAATTAACGTTTCATTGGAACCGTTGTGAATCCGACATGCCATTCTCTATAAACCGAGGGTTACTTGAAATGACGTGAACAGTTCCTTTATATAATGAGGATATAGGTTCAATATATGTAAAGTGTTCTCCGAACCACCAACCATTCATATTCAAAAATTTAAATATCCCAACCAACCAATTATGCCAAAAACAGTTTAGACAGTATCCGAAGCAAGATTTGAAACAAGAAGAGGTCAGGGTTAAAATTTGAATAAAGTTAAAATTATGAATATTTTAATCTCACGAATATACATATTTAATTTGAAGGAAGAAAGATGTCAAAACCCCACATTTTTACTTTCATTGGGACAAAGAGAAACTAAATATTTTTTTTGTGTTGACGGCTAAAAATCTATCCCATTTTTTCCAACTATGTAAACTACCAGAATCCTCATACCTATCCTCTAAAATAAAATTTGTCTACTCCAACCTAATCCAGTATCTTACACCCATGTACTCCAACCTACCCTGGTATTATACTCTTCTGTACTCCAACCTACTCTGGTATCCTACTCCCCGGTACTACAACCTACCCTGGTATCCTATTCTCCTCTTCAACAACATACACTACTCCCCAGTACTCCAACATATACTGGTATTCTACTCCCTGTACTCCAACCTACCCTGATATTGTACATAACTGTTTATTCTGTAGTTAAAGATTGCATATCTATTCATCTACCATACAAGGAGGGAAAAGATTGGATAGATTGTATATCTTCAGAAATACAATTATTGTAAGACAAATGTGGAAATGTCTGTGTTTAACAATGTCTGTATGTTAAAAGATTACCTCCTGATGTTGTTTGGCAATCTTCTCTTCTTCTTCCTTCTTCTTCTTGGCGTTGTCGTTATCCTGCCTGGCGTCCTGGAAGCATGTGATGAAGTGGTCGAAGATACCAAAGAACTCGTCGCTCTGTGTGACAGCTGGATCCTCACAGAACAGACGACAAACTCGGTCGAACTAAAGATTATGAACATATGAGTCGACAAATTTACGTCAGAAAATACAGTTAAACCGCGCTAGGGATGAAATCGTGCTCAAACTTTTTGCTTCACTTGTTTTCAAATGATTTGAAACAAGAGAAATTTAGGATTTAATCGAGCAGAAAAAGATGTATTTTAAAATATATGGTTTTCGATGAAAATTGAGAGGGAAAAAATATGATCAAGATCATCCGATTTCAAGTTTCATCAGGATCCATAGATCAAAACTTGAATATCCCAGTATAGATGGATTGGGACTTGTGGATATTCTAACCTATATCAGGATCTAAATAAATATCCTAGATACAACAACAGGACCTATTTAAAGTGTAGATATCCTATATCTGTCTAGAATACACCAGTAGGACCTATATAGGTATCCTATATCCTAGGATACAACACTATCACCTTGACTGTCTAGGATATAACACCAGGATTTACATAGATATCTTATATCTGTCTAGGATATAACACTTGGATCTACATAGATATCCTAGACCTTCACAGATATCCTATATATGTCTAGGATACAACACTAACACCTTCACAGATGTCATAGATCTGTTTAAGATATAACATTAGGACGGACCTATATAGATATCCTCGATCTTTCTAGGATATAACACCTGGATCTACACAGATATCCTAGATCTGTCCAGGATATACCACCTGGATCTACACAGATATCCTAGATCTGTCCAGGATATAACACCTGGATCTACACAGATATCCTAGATCTTTCTAGGATATAACACCTGGATCTACACAGATATCCTAGATCTTTCCAGGATATAACACCTGGATCTACACAGATATCCTATATCTGTCCAGGATATAACACCTGGATCTACACAGATATCCTATATCTGTCCAGGATATAACACATGGATCTATATAGATATCCTAGATCTGTCTAGGATATAACACCTGGATCTATATACATATCCCACATCTGTCTGGGACCTAAATAAATGTCCTAGATCTGGCTAGGACCTATATATAGATATCCTATATCTGTCTAGGACCTATATATAGATATCCTAGATCTGTCTAGGACCTATAAATAGATGTCCTAGATCTGTCTAGGACCTATATGTAGATATCCCAGATCTGTCTAGGACCTATATGTAGATATCATAGATCTGTCTAGGACCTATATGTAGATATCCTAGTTCTGTCTAGGACCTATATGTAGATATCCTAGTTCTGTCTAGGACCTATATGTAGATATCCTAGTTCTGTCTAGGACCTATATTTAGATATCCTAGATCTGTCTAGGACCTTTATTTAGATATCCTAGATCTGTTTAGGACCTATATATAGATATCCTAGATCTGTCTAGGTCTTATATTTAGATGTCCTAGATCTGTCTTCTGTCTACGCATGAAGAGGGTCTGCAAGGATTGATTAGATTAACGTCGTGATATTTCCAGCTGAGGTTCAGGGATACGTTTAACTGTTTTAATAAAGGGCAACCTTCCTTCTCTACTCTTCCTTCTTTAAATCCGACCATTTTCTTCTTTTCTTTGACTTTCCCTTTCTCAGACATTTACCATGTTACTTCAGCTTACTTTCTAATCTTTTTCTTACTTTTCTTTCTAGACACCTAAATTTAAAACACATTTAGCTCATTTTCTGTTTATTTGAAAAATCAACTTACCCTAGATTTCATATCTGTGAAAAGATCTTCCATCTCTGCCAGTCTTACACTCCCCATACTAACAAACTCCTTCATGACAGGGAGGTACCTAAATATATATATATATATATATATATATATATATATATGTATATAGGTTAACAACAGATTTTCTAGGTTTGTGATTTTAGATTTTTTAGGTAGGTTATTGGATATTTGTAAGGTTTAAAAAAATTTAGATTGGTAAGTAGCTAGGTATACCTAGATAGGTACGAAGCTAGGTAGCTAGTTATAGGCATGAAGGTAGGCAGGTAGATATCTATCTAGGTAGGTGGGTATGGGTATAGGTAATTATTTTGGTAAGTAGGTAGATACTAGGTAGATAGGAAGGCAGGTAGTTAGATATTTAGCTAGATGTAGGTAAGCAGTTAGGTATAGGCAGGTAGGTCAGTAAGATAAGTAGGTAGGTAGCTTGGTATAGCAAGGAAGGTAGATAGAAAGATTCTTAGGTACGTAGGTAGGTAGGTAGCTGAATATATAACTAGACATGAGTAGGTTGGTAGGTAGGTGAGTAGGTAGGGTAAAAGTAGTTGTAAATCTTTGATATAAAGAACATATGTACCTGTCTCCTGAAAGGACTTGCTGCCCTCTGTAGAACTCCAACTCCCTCTCAACCTCCTTCATCCCGACTCTCAACAGGTTCATATCCTTCTCCAGCTCCTTCATACTGAACAAAGGATTTGAGTCTTTGTCACAAACTCTGATTTTCTAATTCCTATATCTTTGTAATCCAATGTTGTAGACATTTGACATTTCAAACTATGACTTCTGTTAGATTAAATAATATAAGTTTGAAATATCAAAGGTTTATGATATAGGGTTCAAAAGATATAGGGATTAGAAAATCAGAATTTGTTGCAAGGACTCAATTCCTTTGATTAAAGAAAATAAATAAATTCACGGAGTCATAGATTATAAACAGCTATGAGATTGGAAATGCTGAAATATATGCAAGGAACTATATGTATTCTTCTTCCCAAATTTAAGGTTAGGTTACGCCTTCTGGGGCGCAGCAGGCTGCAATGGGGAATGGGGCTCTGCGGCATGGATGGGCTAGGATGGGCTGAGCGCTGCGTCTAGAACATGATCATTGATTTAAACAAGAAGTATGCACTTGCGTGGGGTATGTCTAATTTTTATGAAGACCAAAAAATAAACAATGCATGTTTTAGAATATTCAGCAAATCCAGCATTTATGTCCACTCCATTCTTGTTTAAACATTTCCAGAAAAGGGAGTCTTTGCCACAGACTCTGACTTTCTAATCTTTTTATCTTTGCAACCCAATGTCAAAACCATTAGATATTCCAAACCACAAATTCTATTAGATCAAATAATCTAAGTTTGAAACATCAGAGGCTTAGACAAAAAGGTTGCAAAGATATAGGGATTAGAAAATTTCAGTTTGTGGCAAAGACTCAATTCCTTTGTAACCTCACAGGAATCCTCAAATTCACTGTACAATCAGTATCTAATCCATGATCTAATTAAAACAATCAAATCCGAAAAAAGTGATGGTAAAGTTGTGTCGAATAAGAATATTTTAGTTAAATTTGTTAAAAATGCAAAATGACAACATTCTTATTTCTCAGACCCCTACTTGGCAAGATTATTAAATGCAACAAGGAATTTAAAATTATCTTTAAATCTGATAAAGCACGCGATGATAAGACAGAAAAAAAGCAATTCATAGATTTCAGTGCAACATTGAACTTAATTGCACTGGCGCGAAGGAATGTGGTTCAGTGTGAAATAAAATACATCAACCTTATATTAAGGTCGAAACTTTTTCTATTTTTTTTTCTTCAAATCTGAGAATTATTTGAAATCAAAATTTATCAGAACAATAAAAGAAAAATCCATTTATTGCCAATTTGTCGTCTGTTTGTTTTCATCCAATAACTTCATATCGGCTGAACCGATAGGACCCAAATTTAAACAGGGCCTTACATGACCCTAGGGTATGTTTATGTACGTCAAAAATTTTTAAAATATGCCTCAAAAATGTTAATTTAAAATTTTTCGGAAATTTAATCCTTTAAAATCAAAAATCTTTGAAATTATTATTTTGTTCTGTAAAAAACGGTTTCGGATTAGGAGCAAAAATGTACTTACTTCACTTTTGCTGCATCTTTAATGTGGGGTAGGTCCGCCTCCAAAAATAAGCAGTCTCTGAACTGAAATCAAATTTTGATTCAAAAATCTAATTATAATCGATATCATCATTTTTTTGCAATAACTGTTACTTAATATGTTCGAAACGTTTCAATTTTACATTATTTTACTTTTGTTATGGTTAGATTTACTAAATTTTGAAAAAACATTTTTTTACATCTATTACCTTTCAATTTTTTTTTCTAATTGTTGATAAAGGAACTGAGTTTTTGCCACAAACTCTAAATTTCTAATCCCTATATCTTTGCAGCCTGATGGTGAAACTCTTTGATATTTACAAATTTAATTATTTGATATAACAGAATTCAAAGTTTGAAAAAAACAAAAGTCTAAGTTGGGTTGCAAAGATATGAGGTTTTAAAAATTAGAGTTTATGGCAAAAACTGATTTCCTTTGGTTTAAATATTTTTATACTTTTTGATTTTATATTAACTAATAATCATACCTTGTGCTCACAAGTATCTGCCATAAAGTGAAGAAGAGTGATATTCTTGTTACAGCTGGATTTAGTATCAGCTATCCTCGTCAAACTATTCAGTTTAAACCCTAGAGCATTCCCTCTCTGGCCCCTGTTCATATAGTTACCAAAGGCCAGGATCAGCTCCAACATCTTCCTGAGTCTCTTGCTCCTCTGAACCTCCTTGCTTCCCTCGAGGACGGCCTGGATCTTGGGCCTGATCTCAGCCAGGAGGATGTTAAACTTCTTCTTGTAGTGGAGGGTCCGTAATCTCTGCTCATAGTGAGTGATCCTAAACAAGAGGAGTAGGAGTAATCTTAGGATTAAACATATTAAAGGATAAAACATGGGATAGGATTACATAACTAGTAGGGCTAAACATGGATTAAAAGTAGAACATAGAGTAGAATTTAACATAGAGTATAATAAAACATAGATTAGAATTAAACATAGATTAGAATTAAACATAGAGTAGGATTAAACATAGAGTAGGATTAAACATAGAGTAGGATTAAATATAGAGTAGGATTAAACATGGAGTAAAAAACAAAGAGGAGGATTAAACACAAAGTAAGATTCATCATGAAGTAAACAAAACACGGAGTAGGATTAGACATAGGGTAGGTTTCAACATGGAGTATAATTAAACATAGAGTAGGATTAAACATAGAGTAGGATTAAGCGTAGAGTTAGAAGGATTAATTATAGGATTATAACGGGGGAATATTGAACATATATCAAGTAGGATTTAGATAAAAGAGAAGAAGTATACAAAAATATGGATTACAATTTTAAAAACATGAAAAGTATCATATATGAATTAAAACAGGAAAAGTATCATATATGAATTAAAACAGGAAAAGTATCATATATGAATTAAAACAGGATTAAGGTAGGAGTAGGGCCAAAGAAAGGGTTTAAAATCGTGTCTAGATTAAGGCGTACCAGTCACAATTAATCATAAAGTAGTTCTTGTGCTAAACTTTCAAATATTCCACTACTTATATATATATATATATATATATTTTGCAGCGAGTATTGCATACTCTTCTTGTGGGCTTAAGTCACGGCTTTGAAACTGTTTATAAAGATACAGAACAAAGGATTGGATAATGCCAGAGCCAGGCAACAAAAAACATAAAATCTTCTTTTATTAATCCTTACTTTGAAAGTTCGAAAAGAAAACGATCAGCGCGAGCAAGATGGTCGATCTCCTCGGCGTGCTCGTCCAAGAGTGCGCGCTCCTCCGGTGATGGTGTGAACTTGAGCATCTGCTCAACCATATCAACTGGAAATTGATCTCGAGCGTCCATCGTCATAATTGCTCTAAAACAATAAATATTAGATTATGAATATTTAATTTTACGTCAAAACCTGTAGTCTATAAACAGAGCACTTCTACTGTGGAGAATTTTACTCCCCTTTCTTCACTCCCCTTTAACCTGAAGTTTACTCCCCTAATCCTTAATCCCTGCATCAATATTTGCTCCAAGAGCCAAGAAAAATCTGCTCAATGTGGATCTCTCACCCGGTCAATAAGTTTTTCAAGAATCTGCATTCAGCGCACACACCCCCCCCCCCTCCCAACTTTTCAATTTCATCATATTCTAAGCCAGAAAAACACGAACCTAAAAATAAAGCCCCCCCTTCCCCCTTCCCCCCCTTCTCACTCATTTATGGTATATGGAGTGGAAATCAGTTCCGCCCAATGTATAGTTGAAAACATGAAAGGTTGAGACAAGGTTTAACTCCAGGTAGGATTAGAGTACTGCACATTATAGGATCATGTTTGCACACTCTGTAAAGGGTGGAGATATGCGAATTGTCTAGGGCGTAACCAACGGGCGGAGTTGGCTGTAAACCGTACATAAGGTCAGGGGCGGAACAAATCTAATTCATGGAGAGTTAGAGGCATAATCAAATCTTTAAATAAAAAAGTTTAAAATTAATCCAACTACTGACACCTGTTAAACCCAACTAGAATTGGAAGGACGGGAGATTATAATGATTAATTACTATTTTAAGGTCATGTCTTCCTTATTTTGATTGTTGTTTCTTTAACTATCATCATTATTTTATTACGATGAGGTAATTACACCAATTAAATCAATTAAATCAATTAAATTAATTAAAATAATACATGAAAGAAGAAAAGAAAGGAAGCTATATAATCAAACAAGGGCGTATGATGTACAAATTATATAAAAACAGAATACATTTTAATGAATGAAAATGTAGGTGACACAATGTATAACACCCTGTTATGGCATAATTAAGAGGTGTGTCGAGGGTAGGGGCGTGGTCCCCAACATTCTTGCTCTCGGCCTTGCAGCGTTGCTAAAACCATTCGCTACGCAGAATTATGAGTTTGCTTCTAGCTTCTAAACACTGTAAACTTTTTGCGGAAACATTTTTGTCCCAAAGTGAAGTAAAGTAAACCAGTTCTAGTTACAACAAGCCTGAAAACTCAAGGGTCTCTAGAGAAATATCATAGGACTTAAAGGGGGGGGGGGAGTTCAGAGTTTGTTATCAAGTTGTAACCATAAAACTGTGAAAAGATTGTCGTCAATGTTCTTTCTTTGAATTCAGAAGAGGATTTTGTAATTCGTAATTGATTGTTACAACTAATATATTTCTAAAAACATCTCTGCAAATAAATCAATTACAAAGGAATTGAGTCTTTGCCACAAACTCAAATTTTCCAATACCAATACCTTTGCAACCTGATGGTGTATTATTTGATCTAACAGAACTTATGGTTTGAAATGTCTCAGTTCTACGACATTGGGTTGCAAAGGTATAGGGATTAGAAATAAGAGTTTGTTGCAAAGATTCAATTCCTTTCAAAATCCTCTGAAAAATAAAGATATTAGATGAACGTTCCAATGTTTTCCTTTAATACAATAGTATCTCCTTTGATAGTTAATCTAAGAACAAAGATGTTCTTAAATTAATATATTTCAAATAGTACTTTTTCTGAATATGTGTCAAAAATAAAAAAGGGTGTTAAGATTTTATAATTACACATAATTATCCTTTTATATCCGAGTAAATCGTCATAATTGTTCACGATTTCAAATTAAACAAAACAAGAAAAATAACAAAAACCTGTTCCTAGGATTATGACAAGAGAGGGAGATGGTTGAACATCAAGAATTCAATAAATTAACAACACAAATAAGAACACAAATTAAATAATGTTAAACCCAATAACTTAACTTACTCTTTCAAACCCCAGGAAAGTAAACCCAGCTCTGCACTAAACTCATAAACCAGAAACTATAACCTGCTCTATACTAAACCCAGAAACATAAACCTGCTCTACAATAAACCCAGAAGCTAAAATCTACTTTGCGCTAAACCCAGAAACTTAAACATGCTCTACAATAAACCTAGAAACTAAAATCTACTCTGCACTAAACCCAGAAACTAAAACCTGCTCTACAATAAACCTAGAAACTTACATGCTCTACAATAAACCCAGAAACTAAAATCTACTCTGCACTAAACCCATAAAGTAAATCCTGCCCTATACTAAACCCATAAACTAAAGCTTGCTCTACAATAAACCCAGAAACTAAAACCTGCTCTACAATAAACCCAGAAACTAAACCTGCTCTATGCTAAACCCAGAAACTAAAACTTGCTCTACAATAAACCCAGAAACTAAAACCTGCTCTACATTAAACCCAGAAACTAAACCTGCTCTATGCTAAACCCAGAAACTAAAACTTGCTCTACAATAAACCCAGAAACTAAAACCTGCTCTACAATAAACCCAGAAACACTAATCTGCTCTTTACTAAACCCAGAAACTACAACTTGCTCTACAATAAACCCAGAAACTCAAACCTGCTCTATACTAAACCCAGAAACTAAATCTGCTCTATACTAAACCCAGAAACTAAATCTGCTCTGCACTAAACCCAGAAACTAAAACCTGGTCTGTACTTACCCCAAAATTAAACGAACTCTCTTCCTGCATATCTCTACAGATCTGGTTTAAATATCAAACTAAAGTGCTAAACTCTAAATCATGCTTCCCATATCATTCTTTATCATGCTAAACACCTTCCTCTATACTTTTAAAAATGGCACTGCGGATTATTTTACTTTTCTGTTGTAAATCGAGTAAACTGATTTTTTTACTTGAAAAAAAAAACTTACTTCGATATTTCGTCGTTTGAAAGTTTAAGTTTTGAGAGTAGAATGGTGCAGTTCTGCGCTCTCCTGCTGTCTATAACGGAGATTATCTTTGCTCTGCGTCCCATGGTTCCCAGGTACCGGAGATCCTCGATCGAACCCTCAACAGACTGAAACCAAAAGAATGTTCTCTAATTTTGTATTTTATAATACAAAAGCTGCGGTGGGAGAATTAATGAAGTGATAATTAGGCATAAAACTGGAACTAAAATTGAATTTCCAGAATGCCTACATACACTCCACGGTAAACTAAAGGTACTGTTTAAATGTCTACATACACTCCACGGTAAACTAAAGGTACTGGTTAAATGTCTACATACACTCCACGGTAAACTAAAGGTACTGGTTAAATGCCTACATACACTCCACGGTAAACTAAAGGTACTGGTTAAATGCCTACATACACTCCACGGTAAACTAAAGGTTCTGGTTAAATGTCTACATACACTCCACGGTAAACTAAAGGTAATTTTTAAATGTCTACTGAGTCTTAACTTTAGAAACCATTTTTACCCATTTTTCGTATTTATTATTTTATACTTTTTGTCAGGCGATGCATTTTAAATATTTAAGTATTTTTCGTTATATTTAACGAATTTTGAATAAGAGTACAAAATATGACTGAAAATGGTTCAACTTCGTTGTGGTTAGTTTGACGTGACTAGATATAAACCCAACATGTGTTATACTCCATACAGATGTAACTTTGTAATAATCTGATATGTTTAAACGGATTTAAAAATAAACAACTAAAGTAAACGAGAAAAGCAATAAAAATGCACAAATATATAACACGCGAGCAAAATGAAGCAGACTTCAAAAATATTTTTCAGTTAATTAAGTTTAGTTTCCTTCCAAGATTTATAAAACAAAAAGAATTAAAATAAAATAAACAGATTTTTAAATATGATAACAAAATCTCTATACCACATTAACAGAAGAAACTCATGCAAAACATTAAAAACACAAAACATTAAATTAAATTCCGGAAAAAATGGTAAAAAGAATGACATAAATTACCTTAAAACCTTCCTCACTGCCACCCGACTGTGACAAAAAGAGAAGTTTTTTAATTTATTTAAATTCAAAGGCCGGGATGTTTTGTTCACAAATTCCGTTTAAAATAACCATTTCAAGGTTAGGGTTAAACTTGTTGTTTCAAGTTCTTGCAGTATTTTTGTTAAGTTTTTATGGTTAATTTATTTTTATTACAGTGTTGAAATGTTGAGAAAATTTTTAATATCTCATTTTTATGTAGTAATTGTATTGGTTGGAAAACTTTTGTATATGATTGTCAACCATTAACATTAAGACCCCCCCCCCTCCATGTAATGTCGTCTTCAACCTAAAAGCTCCTCTCGGAGACGAGAAACCAAACCAAACAATTTCAGCCCGCTTTTTTCCTTTGTTCTCCGACAACGGAGTATAAACGTTTATTAATTGTGAACCACTTCAAAGTTAAGCAAGAGTATTTTCATATAAAGATTAGTGACCTTCCTCAACATTTAATTGTTACTCTTTTCAGAAGTTTTAATGTTTAAAAAGCGTCTTAGGACTTTTCGACAGTTAACCCACAAATAAGCAAATAGATCGTAAGAATCTTTTCATTATAAATTTGTAAACCCTTGTAATAATTATTTATCATTATTCATTTCATTTTTTTTTAGGAAATAAAGAGTTTTCTGCATTATCGATTTTGATTTGAGGGTTATTCCTTGTCTATCTGTTCATCGTCAGAATCTTGTGCCTTAGCGACAACAATGATACCTTTGCTTCCAGATTCAGTTGTAGGGCTGTTAATCGACTTTACAACTTTTAGAGAGGAAAATTTTTGAAAATTAAAAGGTTTTCAAGTACAAAGGTTTCCTTAACTCACTTGGAACCAAAAATTTGTGGAACAATTGTTGTGTTCATTCTTTCTTTAATTATAAGCGATGCTATAATTTTTTTAACTGATATATATATGTCCACCGATTTTTAGAAACAATCAGTTACAAGATATAGAATAATTAGCGACATTTTATTCTAAAATGAAGGAAAGAAAACGCCGACGCTGAATAGACATATTTACATAATCATTGACTTGGCCAGTACACTTGAAGAAAAAGTTACTTCAGCCATGAAAGCAAAAAAAATTACCATAATGCCATTTTTCTGGTAGGCTGAAAACAGACGATCCACTTCAGCCAGATCCAGCTGTTTGTACAATTTGGAATCGTCCAAATCTGTCCAAATCGTCCCTTGGACTTTACACTCCGGAAGCTTGGACCAGTTGAAAGATTTTAGAGGATTTGAGGGTTGGGGAACACATTTCCGAATAATCTGTCTCAACTGTTCCGTCTCGGATTGACTAGAGTTGACTCCATTTAGCATAGGTGGGGGCGGAGGCCCCGGGGGCATAGGTGGAGGCGGAGCTGCCGGGGGCGGAGGCGGGGGCATCATTGGGCTTATTAGTTTAATATCTGCGACAGATCTAGTTTCTACGGCGGACAGTCTTTGTTTGGTTTCATTGTGACAGAGAACTTCGGTTTCAAGTTTCTCTCTCGTTCTCGCCAGGTTGGCCTCCAGATCCTCCTTCTCCTGGAGCTTGAGGTCTATCTCCTGCTCCTTCTTGGAGAGATTGGTGGCGAGGTCCTGGTTCTCCTTCTCTAGTTCCTCGGCTCGGGTTCTCGCCTGTAAAATCTCTTCTTCACGAGCCAACCTAAAGAAATATTTATATTTTACTTTTTTATTTAGAATTTAATTTTTCAATGACGCGACAAAATAGGGATTGAGACGATGATTTGAATGCATTTAGGAGAAAAAAGTAATGAAACCCTTTTATGTCTTAAATGGCAAATGTTACGGTAGTCTTCTCTAAGCATTCTTAAAACGTTGCCCCCAACACTAACCGTGCACCTAACCC